GATGAAGATTTAATGATAATTGGCAAATCTCAAAAAATATTACACATCTCTAATTGTTTTTGAAATCTTCTAATTTATGATAACTTGGACCTTCTTATGATCTATCATAGGATCATTTTTTGAAATGATACATCATAAGAAGTCAATTTAAGTAGTATAAAATGTACACTTTTACATCTTAGTATATAATTTTATAACTCTAAATTTTTTCACTACATGACAAGCATGAAATTTATGCTCTTTTGTATCTTTAGAATAATTTAAATATTTTTTACATAATAAATAATAAAATTATTTTAAAATTTTATAAAAGACATCATTCATTAGATGTTAAAAAGTAGCTAGTATATTTGTGACTCCAAAAGGTATGACATTATATTCAAAATATCCACACTTGGTTGAAAATATAATTTTTTATTCATTTCTTTTTTTAAAGCATATTAAATTGTATGTTCTTTGAAGATCTTTTTTTTTATAAATCTTTTTTTAATTGAATTAATCAAAAATAAAGAATATATTTTCTTAATGGTAATCTTATTGAGTGTTCAATAGTCCATACATATCTACAAAGATTTTTATTTCTTTATAAATAAGATAGGAGCTTTTATTGGAGATTTGGAATGGCATACGAAGTTTTTAAGCAAATTCTTGTTAATATATTCCTTGAGTACAACCAATTTATTCTACAATAAATTATAGATTGGTCTAAATGGTGGTTGAGTTCTTTCTTAAAGATCAATAGAATAGTCATAGAAATGATGCTTTAAAAAAAATATCTGCATTTGTTTTTCAAAAATATTTTAATAATCTTGGTATTGGCTTAGAATGTTACTTAAAATCTTTCTTTCATCAAAAATAAGTGTAGCATATATAGAAAAAGTTGGCTTTTTATTGCAACATTCATGAAAGTTCCTACACCTACCAATAAAGATTTGGTTATATTGAACAAATAAATTTTTAATTAACTAATAAAATTTTGGCCTAAACTATAGAAAATAAAGGTTACAAAAAATCTAGTCTATTTAGAGATTATACTTCTTTAGCCACAATAATCTTAAAATAATTAGATTACAAGGAGAATTAATGATATTAAATATTATTAAGCTATTATGACCATTAGTTGCTACATCTAGAGAAAAAACTTTATAGGTAACATCTGCAAAAAACAACAAATAACCATCTATTATTTCTACATGTATGAATTTGATTATATTCATTAAGAATATTTCTTATTTTTTGATAAAGTCTTTGTCTATAAACAATCTGAGACTCCTAAATCTAACAAGATTAAGACTTTGTAATTTTTTGGTACTAAACAAACTTCTATTATAAAACAAAGTAAAGGATTTAGGATAGGATAAGATTTTTATAAGGTATTAAACAAGATTTCAATTGCATGACTCTTGTTGTAGTTAAAAAAACTTGTTTATTGACAAATTTTCTTCTTTGATAACAGTGCTTCTCATTTTGTCATTACATTAGTTTTTTGGACAATATTGAGTAGTGTACTTGAATTTTCAATAATATAGGCACAAACCATGTTGATGACATGGAATCTTTTCTTATTTAGTAAGAGATTTAAATTTTACTATATCAATTTACATAGGCTCTAATTTAGATGAATAAAATTTAAAAATTTTAAAAAGTATTGTTATGAATTGACTTCTTCATCTCCAACCAGATCTTTACTTTTGGCATCTTTCAAAGACTTGGTTGTTGCATTCAATGGCTTGAGTAATAAATTGCTCTAATAAGTCTACTCTCGGCATTGTTAATAATATATTCTTAATATTATCTTTTGATTCATATCCAAATTGATTAATAAAGGCTTTATCCTTTACCTCATATATAAGGTTTTAGAATTCAATATGATTCTTATTATAAAAATATGAGTTTGGTCTCTACTATTTTTTTCAATTACCTTTTCTAAATATGATCATAAAGACTTCTAAGAATGAATTCAGATTATAAAAGAGATGTGAATTATTTTCTATCAAAGGTGTAAATCTAAAAAGAATACTTCTAGATTGAAGTGCATTTAAAAATATAACTTAAATAAATCCATCAAGGTATTGAAAAGAATACAAGCTTAGATAGAGCTTCATTTGTTGTAGAAATCTTTGAATCATTGATCTTATTCCATCAAACTTTTCCAACATACTTATTCTTAGAACTTTCATACTTATAGTAGAAAGACTTTTTGGATTCAATTGTAAATATGATCTAAGTGTTTCTTTTAATTGTACAACTTCTTGGCATAGAGTTTGAATCTCATTGTTAACTTCTTTCATAGGAGTAGAAATAATACTTCTATAATTTACAATAAAAATAAGTAAAATTTCTATCATAAGAATTTTGAAAAGCTTGTAAAGATATACAATAGTTGTAAATCAATTCTCACTTCTACAAAGAATAGCATCCATATTTTTTCCTTCCATAGACAACTCAAATAAACTCATAAATCAAATTAGAAGAGGATAATCCACAATCTCTAATATTAAGTAAAAATTTCTAAAAAGAGGGATAGTCCACTCTTTTTAAGAAAAAAAACTAATGTTAGAAAATTAAACTATTACTTTAAAGGCAGATAGTCCACAATATTCAAAATAGAATAATAAAAGTAGAATAATCTACTTACTTCTATCTACAAAAATAAATAATGAGTTAACACTCTTGTCAAATTGTTAAGGATATGAATCTCTCACAAGTAAAAATTTAATTCATTCTTATGAAACTCAAAAAAAATAGATGTTTATTTAAAATTAATATAGTATTAAAACTAGAATGGCTATTGGCAAAAAACAAAAAGACTAGAGAGACTTCAAACACGACTAAAGACTAAAAAAACATTGATAAGAGTGAATAAGGCTTCATTCTTACCTCTATATATACTATTTAACTAAGAGCTATGTGGCAATATTCTATAGAACCTTTGATATGTGTTTAACTTACAAAACGCATGTCTTAACTTATAAGGTAAGTTTTCTATATATATACCATATAGTTAGCTTATATCACAAGCTACCAGTACATGTGACAAATGACTAACTTTTTGGCCAAATTTCTATCTTATCAATCAACTAAAAATACATGTAAAGTAAAAGCCACTTCTATAAAGCTTGTAGGAAGCTTCTCTATAAAATATTATCAAATTAATTACTTTAATTTACTTCTATCTATTCAAATTATCTAGATAATTATTAAAATAAATATTTATATTTGTTTTAATAAAGAAAAAAAGTATATTATGTAACTATTATAACTATGAATCAATATTATTTTACTATAGATGTTAAATATTATGAAATTTCTTACAAAAAATGTAGTCATTTGGATCACTACCATTGAATATGGAGATAACAGTTAAAAGTCCTTGAAGTTTCTTTGTATGTGTAATAGATTTTGGAATTGATTGCTCTCAAGTATATTAGTAGTATCATTTTTTTTTTGGTTTTACATCAATAAAAAGCTTAATATTCTTGTAGTCTTCAAATTTGGTATATGACTTGATTTTTTTCTTTGATTGATTTGAAAAAATTCTTTATTCACATTTGATTTTGTAATGGAAGATATTGAAGTGTAATTATTAGTTTTTCTTTCACTATTTCTTTGTCAAAGTTGATTTCTAAGACTCTACATACATGCTCAAAGAGCTCAAAGCAAAAAAATATAATATCTTGATTGTACTTAGAGAGATGTCATCTCATATTGTAAATGGCCAAGACATCGATGTAATTTGGTCCATCTTTCACAAGTTGAACTTTTTGCACCCATTGCAATCAAATAAAAGTGCCAATAGTATTGCATAAACATAATAATTATCCTTCAATTTATAAGTTGAATCTTACAAGTCAAATTTGAAAGAAGTGCTCACATTTCATTATTTGAAATTGAACAATCATTTGTGATGTATCAAGGTATATTATATATTAGCAAGTTGATGTGTTGATTTGCCCTAGCCATCTTCTTATTAAGGTACTTCAATCATTTTTAGGAAAAAAAAAAAAAAAAAAAAAAAAAAAACTAATCAACTAAAATTTTATATTAAAGCATTAATAAAATCCAAGTTACTTGCTTATGTAGAGGTTGAATACATGAAGCTTCTTTGTATTACTAAAAATAAAATTTTACTTTTATCTAAATTTAAAATAAACTCAATTATAATTTTATTTTTTTAATAGCTTGTATATTGCGAATAAATTGCCTTATTTACCACCCCCTTATAAAAAAAAAGACTAAAAGGTAGATAATAACAAGTTGTTATTAATTAGGTAAAATTAAATTAAAATAACTACAACTTCTTGGATTCTACAAAACAATCTTCAACCTAAATAGATGGATACATATAATCGTGTAAAATTTTATTCACAAGATGTAGGCATTTGTCTTCATTTGCTTGTCAACAATTCAAAGCCCTTAGAAATAGCATGCACAAAAGAGATTTCATTATTTTTATAAGTACCTTGTATTTTGAACAAGTATTACAAAGGCTTGTTAATGTAATAATAAAGAGGTCTAGCAACTCCAAAGGTTCTAAGTTCAAAATATTATTGATAACACTTATCTTAAACATCTCACCTATTACGAATTTTAAAAGATCCAAACATTTCCACAAATTTCTTTAGCCTCCTTTCTCTCAATTGCAACTATTAATAATTCTCCTACATCTTTCTTTGGGTTGGGCTCCCTTTAACCTTCCAAGCTTCCTCAGTTAAGCTGGTTATTTTAATTATAGGCACACTCAATTTTTGAACATGTCCAAACCGTCCCCATTGGGATGAATGGCAATTTGCTTGACCAATTTCAAATTCTCATTTTTCTTTATATCCAAATTGGAAGTTGATTCTTTTAGTGTTCTTTCTCTAGAGGTTGATTGTTTGTAACCCAACTTCTACTACAAGAGTATTAAAATTCATTAGAAGGATAAGCAAGGGATGTTTTCTTTCTGCTCAGCATGAGGAATCATCTTGAATACCTTTAAAAGAAATAAACATAGTGCGTAGAAACACATGTTTATGACCATGAAACACATCTGTAACAATTCTGTTGGAATCCACATTCTAATGACAAAGACATGGAGTGACATTCAATACAAATTCTACGAAGTCTACATCAAATAGGGGACTGTTGGAGGGAAAAAAGAAGAAGAATGTTCCAGTTAAATACTTGGAAGACGATTATAACTTGCAGGCATGATCTCAGGTTTTTCATTTTGCAATGCGCGCTTGAATACTCCAATCCACCTCAATCGACCGCAGGACACTTCGCGAGGAACGAATCCATACTGGCAGCAAAGTGGACCACAAGGGCAGCACAGCAGCATACCGCAGGAATGTGTAGGGAAGTCCTACAGAGGCATCCAAAGGCTTTTCGTCTTGAACTAGATATAATTAGAATGAAAACAATTCAGCTCTATTCTCATATCGCTCCATTTGAGTCTGAACGCATCTCATTTTTTAACAGAAACTAGTAGCACAAGAACCGATGAAATCTAATCTAGTTGTCAACATGAAGTAAGCGTACAGCATTCCAGTGGAACTAATTACCATCCACTGCCAGAAACAGCCTAAGACAACCGAATTTAAGCCAATTTACCATCAACTGCTTAATTTTGGATAATTGTGGTCCATACACTTGCGGCCAGCTGCCATGGCTCGTTTCGCAGTTGGAATAACATCATCCCGCAGTGAGATACTCATTATATGGTTAATTATTCCTCCATAACCTTTCAGGTGCTGCATTGTAGAACAACTAATAAGTCAAGTAACTGCACCTGTACAATTCATCCTAACGCACAATCCAAATGCATTGGCCCAAAAAGGCAGATAAGCGAGAACTAACTACAGTAGATTAGACCTGGGATAGTGATGCTACAATAAGATAAGTAAAGCCCACCTTCCTTGGCGTGAGATGGCCACAACCTCGATCAGCCACATCCAGAAAAGAAGCCTTCTGTTGAATTTTCAAAACCATACAAGCACATAGCATGCGTTAAAGGTGCGTCAATAGCATACGGGCAAGGGAGAAAACGAGTAACTGGGATTTAAGTTTTTCTTTTGAATAATCCCGTGCAGAAATGCAGCCCGATGGACCTAAAGAGCAACCACTTGTAGCACCAGGTCACTGTCTACTGCCTAAAACAAACAGAATCTCGATTATTGACGGAATGACCTCTAGGGGTGATGAGCACACATTTTGGCACAGTAACCAGGGGGAGGTCACACCATTGCCGGTGTAGCAAAACCATTGCGATCCTTCGCATCCTTTGCGAAAATATCTAACAATTGCCCATGCCAATCAGCCACTTTAGGCTTTTGCAACTTCTTTGATTCCTACACAAGGAAAAGTATAACTGCAATAAATTTTGAAAAGAAACACAGACGTTCAAACTAATTGATTTTATTGGAAAAGTGATGAATGAAAGATTTTCATTGAGCAGGTAGAAAGTGAGTTGTACCCATTTCTACATCATAGAGACCCAAACTATTTAACTACTCGAAACAACGACATCTATGTACCTCCCACATACGACAGTGAAAAGAACATGGTCTCGAGGCATTAAGTGCTCTAGAAAAATTACAGTAAAAAGAGAAATTTACATCACAAAAAATTCGTGTAGCCAATGTAAAAATAAACCTTGTAAGTCATACAAGTGTCGTGGGATCGAAGGTGAAAATCGTGCTCTTTCCTGTCTATGACAACAGAGAATGCACGTTGCTTTCCAGCACCTAAAGATACCCTGGCGAGAGAACATTCTCATTTCAAAAGCCCCAGAACTAGCTGGAAGATCTACCAGCTTATAGTGGTAGACACAATAAAAGGCCCATCGCAATTTTAACTCATAGTACAATCAAAGTGCTCCGCAGTTCAAAACCTTACATAGCAATTAGGGTTTACCTGAGTGGCGATCATGAGATACATATCATGATGGTAATGGTCGCAGAAGCTCTCCAGGTACTCGATCCAAACAAATTTGAGCTGAAGAAACACTCACACGGTTCATGTGAACGAGGATCCAACCGCGCGGTGTGCTGTCGGCCTAGTCGTACCCATGACTGATAACTTTATTTCACAGCTGCAAATGCACACGGAGAGGTCAGCAACAAAAAGGACTACTTTCGAAGGACTTAACCTGGAACACCGAGCGAGCTGATTCTGCGAAAATTTCAATGTAGAGAGAAAGAATCCTGCCCATCTGGTGGTGCTGGAAAGACATTGTCTGACATCATATTCCATCAACGTAGCTGCCACACTTTAAATCAAGAGACGAGGAATAAACCCACAAGACCAACAGCTCAACACGCCATCCGCTCTCCTCCTCTTCTTTCTATTCTTCCACTTCCTCTCACTCTGCTTCGCAAGTAAGCCATATCCTAGACCCGAGATTTCTTCAAAGCTCAACACGGTTCCCTTGGAGCTCAAGTCAATTCTCGTCAGAGAAGCAGCGATGAGACCCTCACAAGATCGCCACCTGGAAGCGCTCAGCAGCCAGCACAGCCCAATCGCTGCGCCAGGTCTCGCCCTGCTTCACTTCTTCCAGTCCTTCAACAACAATAAGCCTCACAAAGAGCCACCGACACACGCTTTCTGCAGTCTCTGAGGGCTTTCTCATGCGGGTTTCGCTCGAGACGCCCCCCTCACAATCCTGACAAACAATGGCATAGCGAAGAAGATCACCGTCGCATTCTGCATCCTCACTGCCAAATCCATAAAGCGACGATGCAAACCCACTGTGAAGACGACGCTGAAGTCCTCGAAGATGCTGTAGACCTCGAAGACTCTGAGGATTATGAAGACCACGAAGACCATGCAGATAATGAAGATCACGAAGACTGTGAAGAATGGCAGAGGGGTTTCGAACACTTGTATGATGAATGGATTGCTTCTTCACAAGCTTGAAGGCCCTAGGACTCCCCCCGCAATGGTGGTTGATTGATAAAGCACCAAAAGTGGATCATGAGTTAATTATTCCTGTCTCATGCATTCCTGTCACAAAAAGCTTATTTTATTGATGCCACTTGTAACGGCACTCGTCTGCAATTTCAGTATAAATTCGTTTGTATGTATATGTATAGGGGAATGTTAAATAGACATATGTTTTTACTAAATTGACCCACTCATCTTAACCATCATAAATATATAAAGTAAAAAAAGACGTCTAGATTCATTTCTTCACTACTGTAAAATTCTGGGTCTATTTAACATTCCCTTGCTTAGATTTATATTTATATATTAATGTTATATCATGAATTACGTGGGTTTTGAGTACTTGTATACAGACAAGTGCTACGTCTGAGTGATGATTTTAAGAATACTTCGTGCTAGAATATGATTATGGTTCAGTGGATTTGTTCTTTGACTGTAATATGAGTCAAAATCTTGTTTTAGCCATAGTGACCAATTTTTTTTCCTTTTTTCTTTCTTCATTTCTTTAATCATCAAATATTAATTATTAAAAATATTGATTAAAATAAATAAATAGAATTTAATTTTGAATAATTTACATCACTAACACAAATTTACTTTGGAAACATCCACATAACAGTGATGTAACAGTGTAAAATTGTTTTTTTATTTTTTTATTTTTTAAGTGGCATGTTAAATTTTTATTAATTATACAGATTTTTCATTTTTTAAAAAAATACTTAAATGTAGGATGTTGGTATTCTACTTTGCAAGAAGAAACCAATACATAAAACAAAAATTGTGATAGGGGTAAATTTTAAATAATCGTACATGAACAATCAAAACTGTCTAACAAATTTTGTAATCAAACATTTTACAAAGATTCTAAGGAAAACCTAGAAAACCCAATTAAAATTTGTTGTAATTACAATCACACACAACAATTATAAATCTTGTTTTTCATTCTTTGAAGTGGTTGTTTTTAAGTTGAGATCATTTCAAACCTCATTTTGATTAAAATATAATGCAACATCCATTTACAATTAGCATGCATCACATGAACAAATGATTCTGTTGCCAATGACGACTTTTTGTACTTACAATTGTGCACCCATGAGTCAATTTTTTGCAAGCATATTCAAAAGTTACATTAAGACAAGAAAAACAAAAACACTAATTTGGAGCATATAAAATTTCAACAAAAGAAACCTAATCTTTTTTTTTCGATTCATTTCGAACTTTGGAAAATGCACTAATTGAAAGAAAATAAATAAATAAACAATAGAATTATATTCCTTTGTATGTAAAAAGTAGTTGAATCTTTCTTTTCTTTGCTCTTTAGAAAAATTTGATAAAAATGGCTTTAGCTTCTCTTATACCACATCATGTTTTTGGAGTGCGGTCTACGTTGAAAAATTCATTGTTTTTTGTGGATGAGACTACGGTGGCCTATCCAGCAGGCCACAATTTGGTATTTTGGAACCTTGACACGAGAACACAAAAGATAATATCTGGGTCTCCGGAGATGGAGGGCATATCGGCAATTGCCTTGAGCCCCAATAAGAAACAAATTGCCATTGCAGAGCGAGTGTATGCATCTGAGCGGATGATTCGCGTCGCAAGTCCAACCACGCAAGACCCTAAACCTACACCTCCACCTCCACCAGGTAATATTTCACTCATAATATATTCTTGCTTTTATTATAATGAATGAGATAATCTAAGTAACAGTAAAGAATCTCCTATTTGTTGTTGTCAAAAATAAAATAAGTTAAACCTAAAATCTCAAGCTTTTTTGGGTATTACTTATGAATAAATTTGAATACAATTTTCTTTCTAAATTAAGATTTGCATGAACATTGTCTAGAATATGAGAGTTGTGTTTTTTGTTAAAATTTTATAAAAACTTTGTGGTGGAATCTAGCATGTGTTTTCTTGAAATCAAAAGTATTGACTTTGTTTCATTCTATATTATCACTAATTCAATCTGTCCCATATATCAATCAATCTTTTCATTTTTGTGTTATTAACAATAGTATAATAAAAAAAAAAGGGGGGCAATGATTTGAAACAAAAATGTGTATATAGAACAAAGATATCCCATGATAAGCATATATGATACTGTGAGCTTGAGGAAGAAGAAGGTTCTAAGCAGCACAGACATTGGTTCAAAAGAATATGTATCCATAACTTATACATCTGACACAAGGATGATTGCTGCTCAAGGTAATTTAAAGCCACAGATTAATGAGAGTTTTACAAAATGATTATTGTATGGAAAAACTTAACGTGTGTAGTTTGCATTTTACATTCATGCATATATATATATATATATATATATCTATATATTGAAGGTATACAAAATATTTCACCAAAAATCAAGTAATCAATAGCTACATTTAATGTGTATTTTACTGTGTTATTTTTTATATTTGATTTTAACTATGATTTTCTTATTTTTTTTTTAAATGTATAACCTTCTTTTTTTCTTTTTTTTTATTTTTCGTTGCAAATTTGAGGTTTTATAGTTGAGAAAAAGACATTATGCAGTAATTAATGATTTGGTCAGTTATAAAGATTTTTTTGTGGATTTGAATCTATCATGAATGTAATTCTTATGTTCATAAATTGGATTCTCTTCATTTAGAGCATCAAAAACAATTTTGGAACATTTCCTTATATACCTAATTGTAGAAACACAATTTTTAAGTGGACTCATATACGTTGAATAGCTTCATTATATCTTAACAATAAGCTATATTATCAAATGTGGTTTACAATAGCAAGAACGTTGCATCAATTTTATTTTTTTTAATACAAGATGTTTTTTTTTTTTTTTTTTTTTTTTTGTTGAAATCAAAATGTTGGTCTGTTTGTAAATTAAAATAATAAAAAGGTGGAGGACCAGAATGGAATCTTGTGACATGGAGCATTGACAAACAAAAGATAATTGCATCTGTTAAAGTTTCACCACATGGGGCTGAAGCTCACCAAGTATTTCTATTCTACCTAATTCAAGTTTTTATTATTATTACTAATAAGAATATTATTATTATTATTGATTTTTATTTAAAGTAAATAAATGAACTGAAAAGTTATATTCACCTTATTTACTATTTAAAAAACAAAACAAAACTGATCACTTTAAGAACCATTTGTATTACAACTTCATATAGGTTCTATGTTGTCCTCAAAATCCGGCTTTGATTACAAGTATTGGAGTTGGATTTGCGCGAACTTTCAAAGCAACAGAAACACAAATACGACCAGTTTCTACAGGAGTGAGTAAGAAAGATGGTGCAACATTTGTATGTCATGTGTGGCTTGAAGAGAAAAAAAGTGGTGATGAAGACAATGAAGCCTTGGAACGAGAGAGCATTGAACAACAAAAAGATGGCACTTGTATCTATGCAATTGATTCGGGAGAGATTTTATTAGTTGATGGGGGTGAGGTCTGTCTTTACCATACAAGAGTTTCAAATAAAGTCTCAATATAACCACAATAAGTAATTATTTTGTGTGTGTGTATATCTATATATATATATATATATATATATATACACAGATATACATGTATGTGTGTGTATGTATTTGTTTGTGTAAGATTTTAAATGGTTTTATATTTTTATAGTCATTTTTGTTTTAAATTTACTTATTTGGTGTATTATTTATTATTAATAAATACGTACTATGTTTTTGAGTGTTTATATTTTTAAAAATTTTGAGTTGATATGGGTTTTGTTATTGATATTTATCATTAAAATGAAAATTTAGATTGTGAATACCATTGGCACAAGTGTGGATGCACTTGGAATAGTAGAGGCTATTGTTCAATATTCCAAAGGATTCATTTGTGGTGAAAGGATGGGAGTTGTTAGCTTATATGAGAAAGCAGAATCTGGAGAATTTCATTATAAAAAGGTATTTTTACTATTACTATACTTTGTAGTGGGATGTGTATCCTTGAATATTGAATAATCTCCTAAAATGAGAGTTTTTTTTCCTTTTTTTTCTTTGTATATATTTTAAGAATCTGTCAAAAATGAGTTATTTTTTTGTGTACATGATATTATAGTATCTTTTCCTTACCAATTATGCCTTATTTCAATTTTCATATTGTATTAATAAGTTTGAGATTTTCTTATGGTAATGATAAGAATTAAATTATGGCTTAATGCAAACCAGGTTTTAGGGTTTAGGATTTAGGGTTTAGACTATGTTTAATTATAACAATGAAGGTTCATCTTGATGTTTAGTGCACATTTACTAAGTCTAAATTTGGTTTTTAATTTGCAACCATCCGAAAGTGATTGTCTACTTGATTTTAAAAACCTTGCACATTTCAAGAACTTAATTTCTTTCTTTCTTTTTTTTAACATGATTTGTAGACTAATCAAATAAAAATGGAAAATGAGGGGGTGAAAGTTTCTAGTTTGGCAATGTCTCCTAATGAAGATTGGTTGGTGTGTATAATGGAAAATGGTCAATTGATTTCATTTCCATTTCAAAATTTGGATATGGTAAAACCCAATGAAGTTCCAAAAGACATAATTGTTCAAGTACGTGCAAAGTGAACTATTTTTCAGTATTTTGAAATTTAACATTTGATTACTTAATTATATGTAAGTATTTGAAAGTGTGTTGGCTTGAGTGGCAATTCCTTGACATAAATACCTATTTTTCATCTTATGTTATGAAGGCATTTCACACAAGTACAATAACAGGAATGGATATGTGCACAAGAAAACCCCTGATTGCAACATCTAGTTTAGACAAGACTGTGAAAATATGGAACTACATCACCAAAACACTTGAACTAGTTGGAGTTTATCCTGAAGATGCACTTTCAATAGCAATGCATCCTAATGGTATAAAACAGTTGTAGTAAATGTATAAGTTTACTACTATTTTATGTTTTATATTAACAATGTTTATGGTGTTAAATTCTTAACTCTATCATAGTAACCATAATTAATATTTGCTACACCAAGGTACTTTATTGCATGAATTTCCAGATTTTTTTTTAGTATAACATTATTACAACTTTGAACTTTAACAAGCAAGAAAAGTAGAAAATAAAATAAAATAAAATAGCAAATGGATTTTGTGAAGGTCTTCATGTACTTGTGGGTTTTGCGGACAAACTCCGGTTTATGAATCTACTAATGGATGATTTAAAAACAATAAAAGAGTTCAACGTGAAGGGTTGTAATGAATGTTGTTTTAGCACTGGTGGTCAATATTTTGCTGCGGTGCATAGTAATGCTGTACATGTCTTTGAGACATACACATGTAATAATATTGGAAATTTACGTGCTCATAGTGGAAAAGTATATTTCACATTCAAATACTTATTATTGTCTTCTACATACAATTAAAAATAATAATCTATATATTCTTTAAGTGTGTATTTAATTATTAAATTTTAATTTGTGAATTTTTCTCTACATAAAACATGGTCATGAACCATCAAATTATATATATATATATATATATATATATAGATTCTAATGCTCGAGTATTTATTTTCTTCATATACACATAGGTAACATTACTTGTATTGGTTGATGGATGAATGAAGGTTCGAAGCTTGGCTTGGTCTTTTGATGATTGTTTTCTATTGACCGCGGGGGTTGATGGAGCCATATATGAATGGGAGTTAAAAACATTGAAAAGGGTGCGTGAAAATGTGATAAAAGGATGCCAGTATTCAGGAGTGGTATCTGTTCGAGACTCCAAAACATTTTTTGCTGTGGGCTCTGATAGAAAATTGAAAGAACTTGATGATGCCCTTCTTGTTCGGGTATGTATGATCCATATACTTCTTCTTATTATTACTACTACTACTACTACTACCAGGCATATACGGTAGTAGTATATATATTTGTGCCTGGTAGTAGTAGTACCATATACCTTAAATATATTTGAAATCTACTAAGGTTTGTGTTCCACTCAGCAAATAAAGTGTAGTTTTAGTTGATTGCTTCAGCATATATTATTGACTTATACCTTTGTGCATGTACCTATCTTTTTTTTTTTTTTTTTGTATTTGTATGAATACAAATATATGTGTGTGTGTGTATATATATATATATATCTATATCTATGTATGTATGTAAATTCACCCTTTTGTGTAGTTGTTTTATGTAAGCAACTGAAATCTTCCAAAATGAAATGTTATTCTGTAGAGTTACACAAGTGCAGTAGCATTGACTCAAATTAAACTTCCTTTCGCAAGTCGTCTGTTATTTGCTGGAACAGATGTTGGCAGCGTACGTGCCTATAAATTTCCATTATCTGGTACTATCAAACTTCAATACCACATCTGTAGATAAAAACATAGCACTTCTGTGCAAAATTCATTCCCCAATATTTGCCTTCTGCTTTCACCCCTCAATATGAGTCAATTCATGGTAGTGTTTTTTTGTGTGTTAATTTATTTACTTAGATAAAATCTATGAAAGTACAAAAATAAGTTTAAGTAAAATTTCTTTCTTTTCCTTTTATTTATTTATTTATTTATTTATTTATTTTAATGTTTTTTTTGTGAGTTTATTTATTTTGGAAATGATACTAATCAAAAAAATAACAATCACAATCATCCTTTAGGTGATTACTATGAAGTAAGGGCATTGACGGGTGCCATCACACGTCTATCAGTGAGTGTGGACGGCAATATACTTGCGTGTGCAGGTGAGGATGGTAGCATTGTGTTATTTGATATCCACAACAAAGAAAGAAGTGTTGTTTCTAGTGCAAGAAAAGATAAAGATGCTCTTGGTTGGGCTAAAGAAGTGTTGATTTATAAAGCGGACATGGAAGAAATGCATCAAACTTGTCAAGATTTGGAGTCAAAAGTATGTATGCATATGTATGTACACATATATTTGTAACAATTTGTAATTTTATGTGTTAAAGTAATAAAAACTTATTCTATACAAAATTAAAATAAACACAATATTAGCAATCAGATATTTTTTTTGTTCAATTTGATTATGTTACTTGAATTACCAAATTATAAAACATATGAGTAATCACAATTTCTTTCTCCTCTATTTATCTTTTTAGTTGAATAGATAATTTTTGATTATTCAAGAAATAGAACTACTATATAATTATTCATTAAATTTGGTGTTTTCCTGTATGTGTACTATAATGGATTCAAGTTGGTAGAAAGTTGAGGAAGTTGTAGTTGTTTTTGTGCAACACATGAAATTCAACCATTTCATGCAAATGGATGGATGTAGGTTGTGCAAATTTCAACTTATTGTGATTATCAACTCAAGATAAAAGACCAAGATTTTAATGACTGGATTAAAGAGTCAAATGAACAACATCAACATGAATTAGAAGCCAGTCGAATTAAATTACAAACAATGTTGCAACAAAAGGCAGAAGATGTATGTGAATTTAATCAAATTCATTTAATTACTTGAATATAAAATATAATTCTACTAGAAATATAAAAAAATAATACAGTTGAAAACCTCTCAACTTTGTCATTCTTATTTCGTTTCCATACATAGACTGAAGGTTCAAATTGATATGCAACATGAATATGGTAATCTTTTTGATGGATCTTGTTTCAAGCATTTAATTTTCATGCACAACTTTTTTCAGCCTTATATCATCCCATGATTCTTGGTTTGGAAGAGAAAATAATATCAATAATCAAAAAACATCACAAAAGAAGTTTAATTAATAGTATCATATTATATAAACATATATACATAGACAAAAAGTGATTCGATCATGTTGGTGGAATGTGATTTTTGAAAACTAATTGTTTGACCTACACTTATTTTCAAATCACATTTATCTACATAGGTAGAACTTTGAGATAAAATTTCATTACAATTTGAACATATATAGTGTGTTTATTTTTATCTATATATATAATTAAGTTGTGAAATAAAAAAAGCTAGGAACTTGAACAAGAAAAAAAACTGCTACTAATTGAAGAGCAACATGCACAAGTATTGCAAGATGTGGAGGCTCAGTTTCATAAAAGAATGTTGGCAGAAGTAGAAAGGTAATCTGTTAATATTAAAAATTAATATTGATATTATTATGATTATCACTTCAATGCAGTTTACATAATCAGTCTAACTTTTTGACCAAAATTCTAAGTGAATAATTCCAATGAAACAAGTTGATGTGCAATGAAGTTTATTTTGTTGATTCATAGAGATCAAATCAATCTTGCCTCTGTAAAATAAAAGGTTCCTAAAGTGATTATCTGGAATATTTATACATATTTACATGGAAAGATATCAGGCACTGGAACAAGAAAAAATACTCTCCGATGCAAAATGGCAAGATGAAATAACAGTTGCATATCGTACAAATGAAAAAGCAATGCAGGTGTACACATACAAATACATTTTTGTACACTAATCAGTACTTAAAAATTAAAATTTCATAAAGAGAAATACAATAAAAATAAATGATAAATAATAAATAAAAAAGAATCAAACAAATATATAGCTAATCTAGCAGTATCATGTATTATTGTTGAATTTGATCTATTCTTGATGGCATGAACTTGCATATATAAAGCATTAATTTGATTACATAATACTTTTTTATATATGGGAAAAAAATGTACTATGTTCTTTCTAATGTAGGATCTCATTGAAGCTTATGAAGATAAACTTGATGGAGAAAAGGAAGCATATCAACAATTAAAAAAAGATAAAGAACAATCTTACCTTGATTTTGCAGAAGTACGCAGACAACATGAATTTGACCAAGACCAAGAATTAGAAGAAATTAAAGCTAGGTAGTATATTATACCTAAAGAAGTATGTATCTTTTATTTAAAAAAATTGATGTTTTTTCTTCGTACATACATGCAAACATTTAGACATATTGTGTACAATTATTAATTAACACATTTGATTCTTGTAGCTTTGAAGTAAAACTTTCTGCAGAAAAAGATACACTGTTGCGTATTAAAGGAGAAAATGGTATTCTGAACAAAAAAATGAGTGAATTTTCAAAGGATATTGAAATACAACGCGAGGAACTAAAACTTTTGTTTCATCAAAAAAAAGAGCTATACAAAATAATTGGGATATTTGAGCGTGATATGATGTAAATCTACTTAACACAATCTAAAGTACTTCATTTTAATGTGCATCATATATTGTTTAATGTATCCTTTGAAATCAATCTAAAAATAAAATAATTACACAACCATTAAAGTCAGTTTCTTTGAAGTTGAAATAGAGCATTAAGAAAGGATATTGAAGAAAGAAACGAAACAATCACTGAAAAAGAAAGAAGGATTTATGACTTAAAACGAAAAAATCAAGTATTGATAGAACATTAAAGTTACTCTTGGATTTTTAAAATTTATGTAAAATTCAGGAATTTTCCAGCCATAATATCAATTATGCATTCATCAGCATAATTTTCAAAATAGAATAAACATAATAGTCAGTAGTTAAAAATTAGTAATCACCAAGAAGATAATAACTTGTATCTGCTTTCTTAATAATTAACAGGAAATGCGAAACCCAATGGTTTCTCATACTTTATTTAATGCTCAACTTCTAGGAACTTGAGAAATTTAAATTTGTATTAGATTACAAAATAAAAGACTTGAAACAACAAATTGGACCTCGTGAAGTAGAACTTCAAGACACAAGAGACATTATACAAAAGATGGAAAAAGAATTACAAAGGTTGTTACAAAGGAAAAAAAAAAAAAATCTTATTAAAAAAACTATTTATGTAAAAAAAAATCATTTGTACTAGAATACAAATAGTAAAATCACACACTTTTTGCTAATACAAATGATTGAACAATCAATTAGCATTAAATAAGTATACTTGCTTGAATATGTTTAATGTTGTTGTTGTGTATTGTGGATTGTGAATTTTAAGTAACAATGTAAAGAGTGTTTCTTCTGATTTGTACAACATCAATCATCGAACAATTGCGATACTTCAAGACGCTCTAAGGGAGAATTTGATTGAAAATCCATGATGTGAACAGAACCCATAAATCCTTGGAAGCACGTGGATTTCAATTGGCAGAGATGAAGTTGCTTGTGGAAGGAGCTAAGAAAGATCAAAATATTATGCGTCAAAAGATTGCTGATGATGGGGCCATGTTGACAAGTTTCCAAAGCGATTTCTGCCGACTTACTGAAACTGCTGATGTAGTTCATATATTTCATTCTCCAACATATTGAAGAAATATTTATACTATATACATTTGAAGAAATGTTTATATATATATATATATATATATATATACACTAACAAATCAAAATTATATATATACTAACAAATGAAAATTGATTTATGATATTTTGAAAATGGTTTGTGAGAAATAGTCAAGGATTGATTTTAATTACTTATTCTCCATTAAAAATATATTTTTTTGGATTTTTTTTTCCATTGATTTGCAAGTCACAAAAAAAAAAGTGTACATGAGATTTGATGATGCCTATTTCATGAAAAGAAACTTGTGATATCATACTTTTTGAAATTGTGGATTAGAAATGCATCTAAGGTTTATGTTTGAATTTTTGATAGAATGCACGAGAGGCTAAGGAAATGATAAAAAGGATGTATGAGAAATATATCCAGAATAAATTTACACCGAAGGAGCTTGATAATAATATATTGAATGAGTATGCCCGCCAACGCATGTTTCTAGAAAGAAAGGTGCATCCTGCTTCTGCAAATTTTCCCTGGCTCTTTTTTCTTTCTTTTATTTTATTTTATTTGATTATCAGAATATATAATCATCTTTTATTCTAATGATTTAAGCCAATTTGATAGTTACATATATATACACACAGATATATATATATATATATATATATATATGTATTTATTTATTGAAGAAAAAGGTTTTCATGTTTAGAAACGATGGACCTACACATATACTCAAGTCATCAAGATATGCAACCATACAATCCATTTTTAACAAAATTTTAATGCTATTTGATAACATACTTCTGTAGGTGGATAATCTTTCAAAGAAGCTATTTCAACAAAAGGAAATATACAAAGAACAACATGCCCAAATATTAGAACAAAACAATGTTTTAATCAAAGCATATCATGAATTACAAGAAAGAACCAAAGGAAAACATTTTGATAAATCACAAGATGATTTGACCTCCAAATCCAATTCACTAACCCAAATTCTAACACAAGAAATTCCAAGCATGAAAAACAGTGATATTGAAAAGTTACAAGATTATGTTAAAAATCTTGAACAAACCATTGATGCTCAAGCTAAAAGAATACAAAGTCTTGAAGATATGTTAGACAAATCAGAAAAAATTGAACCAAGGCCTCAATCGAAGCAAAAATTGCCATCCTTAGATCTGTAGTGAATTACTGTTGATAACAGCAATAGTAAAATTTTCATGCGTTTATTTCCATATGTTTTATATTTTGAAAAAATAGTATTTTTTTGTATTTTTTATTAAGTAGGCATGACTATATATATATATATATATACAAGAGAAGTCTTAGCTGTTGGATAATAGTATCTTCATTCAATTTTAAGTCTTAGAGCATAGTTTAGATCAATTTTTTTCTGAAAGTTTCTCATAAATTTAATTACTAAAAGATTCTCATGTATTGGTATATACTTCTAACATAGGAAAATACTTAATTTTTTTAAAATTTTATCTTATTATTTTATCAAACATAAGGTACAAAGAGAAATGTTGAAATTATCCTACTACAAATCTTCACTTTTATGCACTTCATATTCAATGTAAAATAAATATGTGAATAAGCAGCTCTTTTAGTTCCTCAATTAGTTCTGTATCTGAACAAAATGTAGTTCCACCAATATACACATATTAAAATAAATAACTAATATCCAATCTAATATTACATCTTTATCACCTAAACATTCATTTGGTGTCTTTGTATCTATATACATCAAGCTACATTTACACACAAGGGTGAAAAAAAAAAAGAAAAAAAATGAAGCTTTGGTAGTTTTCATACCACCTAATCAACACTTCCATATAAGAACTATGAATTGGTGTTTCACCACATCATCAATCAAACAAAAAAAAAGAAATACACAATTTTCTTGCTACGATTTTTTTTTTTTTTTTTTTTTTTTTTTGATTTGTTTGTTTGTTTGTTTGTTTGTTTTGTTTTTTGTTTTTGTAGTACTCAAAATGTAGAGTTTCACATCTTCAATCAAGTTTTCTGAGACATGTTTTTCATACCAAATAATCCTACAAATGCATAATAGTTCAAAAAGGGAAAAGGCGGGGGGGTGGTAAAATAAAAATAATCAAACTCACCAATTCCATGGGAATTGCAATGGCCATTGAATAAATACAGCCAACATGAGTGCCGAGGAGTGGTAACACAAGGGCAAAGAGAAAATAAGAAAGGAAAGAGAGGTAGAGAAAGAAAAAAGAAAGACCCCCGAAAGAGACAGAAATAAAAGAAAAGCCCGCTTGTAACGTGGCGCCTACATGCAGTGACACCTAGTACGAAGGGCCGTCAAGCAAGGGCCCTCAGCCAGGAATTTCCGGGGGGGTGCGCCAGGACGGGTCGTCGTCCCTCAGAGACCCGGCCCAGCCATGCCCAACCCACCCCAGCCCCCGTTTGAAGTATTCTTCCCCACCCCTACGCCCCGCTTTTTAATGGTCTTTTCCTTTGATCCACCGAGTGTCTGGCAGCACCGTGCCGCCTGGTTGCGAGGTTTTCTGGTGAGGAGGAGGAGTAGGATCTCGTCATCGTTGTAGTGGAAGTCCAGCGCATTTCTGTCGTAAGGACGCTCTCATACTCTCTCTGTGTGGCACCCAATTTCGTGGACCTTTCTTTCCATTGCCTCATCCTGCTCCACTCTAGCTTGTACACGCAAGCAAGCGCATCGGGTGAAGCAGCACGCAGGCACGCGGGCAGGGCTTGAACACAACACAGCACGTCACTGGAGTGAGTAGACTAGTAGAATTGCAGAAAGGAGCATCGTTCCCGAGAGCGAGGGTGAAGCCGAGAGTTGGGCTTCTCTATCCAACTCGTGTAGTGCCAGCCAGCATCGCTGCTTTGCCGCTTGTCACCTTCCCGACCCCGCTGCTGCTCTTGGATGCTGTTTCGTCGCTGCGTAGGTGAGTTTCCATGCCATGCACGTCGCTTTCCTTGTTCTGGGTTGTTTCCACTTGGTCGGCAAGGCTTGGATTTGTGCGGGTCGCCCCGCTTGGTTCACTCGGGGCGCGGATGCCGCCCGCCCCGACGTTCTCTTGCCCTTCCTTCCCTTGTGTTTTGCCGTTCCTGAGTTTTTGCGATGACTTGAAGCATTCGCCGGGGTCGGCGATGGCCATCGGCGGTGGTTCTTGGAAATATTAGAATTTTGCGAGGGTTGAAGAGGGGGTTGCTTGCAGAGAGAAAGAGCGCACCTGGTTGTGGCGATGGGTGAAGGCGGTGTGGCATCCCATCGTGGTTCATCGCAGGGTGAGCTGCGGAGTCGTTTGGGGTTGTGGTTAGGCGAGTTTCATGCATGGGTGCGGTAGTGAAGTGGGGGTGGTCGTGGCAGGGCGATTTGGGGTGGGTGAGAGGTAGAATGTGGTGCATTGGTAGCGTCTTGGTGTGGGGACCAGAAATTGGATGTGGGAAGGGAGGCTAGATTAGTAGGGTGGTGGTGGTGTGATGTAGGCGTAGATGGGAAGAGTTGGTGTTTCGGTGTAGGGTTTGGTACCTGGTGAGCGAGAGCATGCCGTGCGTGAATGCTGAAGGTTATGGTAGAGCGTTGGGAAGGTCGTGAGGGCGGAATGTTGGGTATAGATAGCAGTGGCGTTGTGAATGCGTAGCGATGGGGAGGCTAGGCATGGGCGATTTCAGTTCCTGGCACGTGAGATTTGGTGGTGAGTGTGGATGAAGGTGCGGGAAAGTGTTAGCATGGAAGGTATGTGCGGTGCGGTAACCAAACCACGGGAGTTGGTTATAGCGTCGAGTGTGGAGAGAGAGAGAGAGAGAGAGAGAGAGAGAGAGAGAGAGTGGTTGTGTGGTAACGAGTACCCCTGCGAGATGTAGTGAAGGGGATGATAGCAGAAGGAGTGGAGGTGGGTATGCAAAGGACAGCGTGGGAGGTGGATTCGGTGGGGCATCTGGGTTGGCGATGGGTGCAGTGGAGTTAACGGCATGGGCATGGGCATGGTCGGTGCGCGTGCGATGTGCAGTGTTCGGTGAGCATGTCGCACGGGTATGGAGTTGGCAGGGTAAGGATGCATGGGGTCACGCAGAGCTACGAAGAAGTTCATGAATGGATGTGTGCACGGTGGAGGTCTAATCTGGCGTGGATGTGGGTTTGAAGTGTGAAGTTATGGAGTTGCGTGTGTGCGTGTGTGGCGTGTGAGCGGATGCAGGTGGTTAGATGGCGGACTGAGTGTGTGTGTGGCCTGCAGACGGAGAGGTGGGGGTGCAATTGGAGACATGTCGATGTGATATAGTGTGTAGAAGGATCGCGGGGACGTGGGGTGGATGTTTGATGTGTTCGCGACTTCGGGGTTACGGGAGCCCAGTGAATCCGGAGCGTGGTACATGCACAGAGGGTGTGCAGCTGGAGTGTGGCGGGCAGGATTCGCGCAGGCGAGAGCAGACGAGGCGTTGGCACCTAGAGTAACGTGCGTGAGGGAGCGTGGTGCGGCGGACTGGTGGTGTTCGAGAGGGAAGTTTTTGTGGTAAGAGAGAGCAGGAGCACTGGCAGGCCCAGACGCCCGCAGCCGGGCCCGAAACCGTGCTGCCCGAAGGGTAGCAGCGTCGGAGGGCGAGAAGCCGGGTGTTTGGGCGGAGGACGGAGGCATGGCGTCGCGGGCGCTGAGTCCGCGAACGCAAGGTCGGGGTGGAGGAGCAGGAGCAGGAGCAGGAGCAGGGGGAGGGGCGTCGAACGGGGCGAGTGCGTCGAGCGCGAGCAATGGACTGGCGGGGTCGAGCCTGGCGGGTTTGGGAAGCCGGTTCAATTCACTGGCGCGGCAATCGTCGATATACTCGCTGACGCTGGATGAGTTCCAGAATGCGCTGTCGGAGCCGGGGAAGAACTTCGGGTCCATGAACATGGACGAATTTTTGAAGAACATATGGACGGCAGAAGAGAGTCAGGCGATGGCGGCGGCGATGGGAT